TTCCGTTATCTTGAGATTCCGATTTTTGGCATTTCTACAATTTTTTTTTTTCATATTTGATCAACGAATTCATTGCATCTCACAGACAAAAATGATTGCACGCAATTTTTCAACAAGTCAAACAGATCGGACATTTTTTTCCTGATATTGTGCATATTGATATACCCATCTCACACTGAATCTATCTAAACCTCTCTTTTTCGTTACGTCTTGTAGCATATAGAGCTTGAACTTGAACCTGCATCAATTAAGCTACACTCTTCAAGTTTGATAATTATATTTGTTAAAATCCATCTCTTCTATTTGGGAAACGATAAATAGATATTTATGGAACACCTTATCGTCATTTTATGTGATGACAGACTGTTACACGAAATGTGGTTTCCTAGAGGAATAGACTCGTTTTATATTTTCATTAGGGGAAAATGACTGATTCAAGTTCAGATTTCCCAAGTGATATCGAGAAAGCAGCACAAACTGCACGACTATTCTCTTCGTCCATCCATATTTGTATTTCGAAACTGGTGTTGAAACTTGTTGAAATGAACATTCCGTCACCAGTTATGTGATATTTCACTTTCTCTACGACTATCGTATTCTACATTGATTACATATAGGTTAGTAATTGATGAATGAAGATGATTCCAAGACACCGTGGATCCCAACTCATTATTCAACGGCACTCGACCAATCACAGATTCAGAATTTTCAGGATCCACAGCAACTGAAAAGGTTAGAATAATGAAAAACCAGCAAATCTACAAAACAAATTTCTCAAGAAGGCTCTGCTTCATTTTACGGGTCACGTCACGGCTTGAATGTCAGATTGACTTATAGAGTCTTTTAAGTTTTAACTTTGATATCTGGAGGATATAATGGAGGCTTGCCGTTCCATAGAAATGTACTCTATGAATATTGAAGATATTCAAGATCTTGGATCTGCATGGATGATAACTATTCCTGAGACCAAAACAAAAACTGTAAGGAGGTTCACTGTAACCGGGAAATTTTATCAATTTTGTAAAAAGTACATTGATATACGAGCAGCAAATGTTGTGATTTCCAATTTTTTCATGAATTACTAAAATGTACTCTTTAGAAAATTGGAATTAAGAAGTTTGCAGCAATGAGAAAACAAATATGTAGTTACATTTTTGAAGCTACCAAATCCCGAGATGTACACCGGGCATTGCTTTGCTTGTCAATGCAGGTGGAGGTATAACCAATGGTATAACAGCATTGAAAAGACATGGTGGCTGGAAGAGCACATCGGTGGCAGAAGGATTTCCAGAAGATTCCATGTTGAATAAAAAAAACGGCAGATTCGAATTCTTCAATGAATCGAACAATGTTCTTCATCATCAACAGTTCCTTCACACAAAAAACATCAACTAGCAATATGAATAAAAATGTCAGTGTTGATTTAAATGCAACACCGACATTTAAATTTCACGAATTGTAAGAATATCACTAAAAATTTAGTCACCAAGTACGAGAAACATAATTTACTGACCTAATAATTATTGTGTTGTTTCATAATTGAGTTCGTTGAATATTAAAGATTTTGTCAATTGTATTATCATATCATTGAAGTTCATACATCAAGTATATTATTTTCATAAATAATAATTAGATTACATTACATTTCTGAATATCGTATAGTCGTAGAGAAAGTATAGTCTTCTACTCTTCTGGAACTGGTTACGTGAAGTAAGACGTTTCACAACCGTCAATTTTGAAAAGTGTCAAATAAATTACATGTTGAAATCATAGATCACATTAGTGTTTATATAATATATTTCAAAATTGCACTATTTTTGCAAAATGAACAACTGAACGAGTGTGGATATATACGTCAAGAGAGGTATGTCTCTTATTGTTATCGGAATAATAGGTTCGCATCATAATGCAACGTTTGAAGTAGCTACCTGCTTGTCTATGAAATTAGTGTAGTGACGATTTAATGAAAACTTCTGAAAAGTCCATCCTCCCTCTAGGAGATCTTCTTACAAGACGGCGAGTCTGAAACCGCTTCTCAGATCCAGTTCCAATCCCATTACTCCGTTGGGCAGAACCAAAACAAAAAATTTAAAAAAGCAGTTTCAGAATAACTGGATTCTTGACGATCGAGTATTACATACGAGATTCACTTTCTTTAGCAGTAAGCCAGGCAGATACAGAATGCCGATTCTACAAATTTTTCGTTAGATCTACAGATTTTTCAACATATTATTTTCTGATCAAATACCTATATTCTACTACAATGGCTCAACTTCAAAATATGAAATATAATACTCTCGATAATACTTGATAAGGAGTAAATAAATATCCTTCGAAATAAATCGCTCCTTGTCCTTCCCTTCCTATTATAGGTAGGTTACGCACGATGTTTGGTTTGATGTTTCACGAACATAATATGGATTCTGTTTCGTGCGTTCTAACAGATGGGAATAAAAAACTCAGTAATGCATGTAGCCATTACAGAATATCTTGCCTTAGCACTGAAAAACCAATACATTGAATTCAATTCATCTGTTGAAAGGCGGCAATATTTTCAAACCCTTATCTATATTCCTATTATATGGAACCTCGATCGTTGATAAGATTTGAAATAACTACTGAAATTCTGCTCATTATTCTACTTTTCTGATAGGTTGGCAACACCGAATGCTCCGTAGAACGCGATGCCAAAGCTACAGAAAAACGCATGACACCAGACTCTGATCTCCACTTGGACCGAAAGAAGAAGAATAAAACTCGTAATGCTGTCAATTAAAATAAACAGCCGAATAAAACGAGCCTGTAAGGTCGAAAATGTCTCGAGAGACCACTAGACCAGGCGGATGTTGTTAATTTGAGTAAATTTAACATTTGATCTTGACGCAGAAATCAACTTTGGTCCAAACTTCAGAACCGGCGGTGGTGCCAGATTTCTTGCTATAAAATCTGCCAAACCTTCTCATTCAAATGATGTTTAGTGGAGTAACATCATCTTGGAGTTGATTTTTATATACCTAGAAATGTTGAACAAATAAATATCACTAAACGAAATCCACGAAAAAAAAATCACAATGAATCATGATCGATCAAGAAGACACTGAAGATAGCGAAACCTGTTAGTTAAAGCATACTATTATATTTTTCGCTGAAATCTGAGATTTCGAATATAAGTCGCAAAAAAAGCTTGTTTTCGGCTTTATTCCACAATATACAATAATAATATAATTCCATCGGTGAGTTTACTTTCAAGCAGACACCATAATATACAAAACAGTTGAACACTCCTAGTTTACTATATTTATTTTGTACCGCAACATCGGTATCGGGCAAAAAATGTCTATGATGCTCATATGGATTCTGCAGGCGTTAATTTTTAGATGAATTGCTATTACCTATTGATTATTGATATAATCAATGAATTCTGATCACTGGCAGGTTATCAGAATAGAATAAAATTTTCAAGGATGAGGGATGGGATAAGGACGATATAACCACCACAGTTGAGGGATTGTAGATGTAATATTCCCTAAACTGTGATATAACGATGTATATAGATTGATGATATCTATCGTTACTGTGGGTAATATAATATACTACGCATGTACGTAGGCATATTGAATATTCCATGCTTTGAGTAAATATAGAGAAAAGATGCATTATGAGAATGCTATAAAAGTTTTGTTTACTCAAGGAAACAATACGTTTATTGCTTTAAGCTTTTAATTATAGTTGCAAATTTCAATAGGTAGGTTTCTACTAAGTTTGCTGAGACTACCCAATACGTAACAAAAATTTATTAATAATTCAATAATTAAAAAACAACATTCTCGGAAAATAGCAAAAACAATCATTGATTTATTTATAGTTTGAAGAAACAATGTTCACTCATTTTTATGCGTGAATTATGAATGTAAGAAAATAGTATTTACTCATTAGGTATTACGATAGTCTCGTGATTTTGATCCTACTAATAGAGGTACAATATACAGGATGTTTAATTAATATTGCACATAACTTCCAGGTCATATTTTTTTGATCACAATATTTTATCAATTTCTGTAATATTCCTGAACCATGGACGTATAAATCCATGGCCTGAACCGATAGTGATAAAATTCACAATATGTCTGTTGAAATCATAATGAGGGATTTTGTACCTAATACAGTTGATGAAGTATCATCAGGAGCATGCCCATGGGACTCAGAATACATCTTTTTTAACTCTCCAGTTTTGATAGTATCTGGCTGCGTTTTAGGAGTAACAAACAAAAACCAAACCTATGCATGTGAACCCGATGGGAGACCAAAACAAATCAATCATGTAACCATGGCGAAACAAATACTGGCGAACCTAACAAGGTCAATTTAGAAGATAATAAAAGTAGTAAGTAAGTAACTTTCAGCACCCTGTATCTCGGAAACGAATCTTTTTCGGATATTTATGTTCATATGAACTCGTTTTCTAAATTTGACCCAAATAATAGGACCTCGAAGTTTTTTGCAATATTAATGAAACACCTTGTATAAGTATAGGTAGATACTATATACATATATCATTTGAAGAAGCGTTGAAAAATTCATGCAGTGTTTATTACTTCACTCTCCACATATCACGAATACAGTATGTCCAGTAATGGAAAAATAAGACTGAATGGCCCAGAATGACACGGTGATAGTTTTTGAATATAACAAAAATATTGTTCTGTTCATATATTTGAATTATGAGATTTTTGTTTCTCACCAAAATACGTAAACCAAACAAATCGTCCATATAGAGGTTCCAAAATATTTGTGATTTTCTTCATAGAAAGTCAATGTTCTCTACACATTATAATTTAGGCAATGCTGGTAATATTAATGTAGGTACTAGTCGGCGCCCAAAATCAAGAATTCGAATGAAAATCGGAAATCTCCCAAAGATTGTGAGACGCGGCAACGCCGTTCGCCGAACAAGATACCACCCCTCCAGCGCGACCTGGAGTGGGAGCATCGAATCAAGCAGTGTTTGTTGGTATTTTCGTAGTGTAAAAGAGAAAATTTAAAATTTCAGTCAGAGACGTTGCGTGAGTGTAACAGCACGCGATTGCTGCGTAGTGGAATAGCGCCCTTTTCCGTACAAACTGAATAGCGAGTCTTCCTCCTAAAGCAGAATCGGTGTGTTGTGTGGTACTCTGTACAATTTTTTTAAAAACAGTGTGGTGCATAACAGGAATATGTCTACTGCGATAATGTCCCAGAACGCAATGTACGAGTTCGGAGAGAGCTTAATCAAGGTAAACAAACCAAACAAAAACATAATTCTCTATTTGTTTGTGGATGGTTTCTTCTCTCAGTTCTTCTGGAAATGGGGTCTCGTTTCAAAACAAACAAGAAGTGGTGCAACAGGTCCTAAAAAGCTGAAACGGGCTGCTTTACCTGCGCTATGTTTGTTATTATAATGTGCCCAAATGGACTGGACAGGTAGCGTAGCACTCTTAGCAGGTTCGTGTGTACCTACACTACCTACCAAGTGTGTACTAAAGAGTAAAGTTTCAAGGACTTTCTTGGCCTGCAAAACCGGCTTCAGAGGTAGAATCATACCCATCTACTCCTACTACAGAAGGTAGAATATCGGTAGAAAAGTTCTAATTAAATCTTGGGTCATTCAGCGATTCTAGAAACGTTTCCTTTGAAACATTAATGATTTTTATCATTCTTTATGACAATTAATTATTGAGCCTACTCATTCTTCACCAGATCTTCAGTTTCTTTATTTCTCGTTTAGGTAGGTAGGTAGTTATACCTATGGCTATTTTTTTTTGCTTGGATGCTTGGCCTCAGGAGCAATAGCGATAATCTGATTCAGTGACTTCACCAACTTCAAATCATAACTATAATAATTGTTTACTTTGCTAATTTGACACTTATCATGCAATGTTTTTTTTTTTCAAAATTCTTTTTTGATACTTACGTAGGATTTGTGTCTGAAAAACACGAATTAGATAATTAAAATGTGAACAAACCATTATTTATTAATACCTATATTTCATTATAGAGTTACATATTTCACCTTCTTTACCGCCTGTCTTTTGGATCACATTTGCCCTTCTTTTTTCCCCATCGAACAATTTACCTATATCAAAGTTTATCTTCTGTCTCGTCTTCTGTAGTCAATGCCTATGCCTATATCACGATGTACTTCGATGACACATTTTTTAAATATGAAAGTCAACTAGAAATATGATTTTCTTGCGATTTAGCCATATTTACCTAGTGAGAAAAAGGAAGAATAATATCATTTAAAATAATGGCCTAGGTAACGTCATTCATGAGCAATCTTGACATCTCGTATTTGGATTGATCTGGGGTATGATTGTTCAGTCAATATGAAAAACTTGCCATAAAATCATCATTATGTCGTATTGCATTTTCTATATAAGAATGTGTCATTGAGGTACATACATCATGAGTATATAAAGTGTCCAATGAGAAAATAAGAAAAGCAAATAGCCGTAAATGCATCCAAGACAGGTGAACCATCGAACTTTTTCTTAAAATATTTCGATACATGGTGGTTTGTTCAAATTTTCATTATGAAAATCGTGTTTTTAGACAAAATTACGTAGGTGTAACAAAAAATGTTTTCGAAAAAAAACGCATGATACGTGCAAAATTACCTTTGATTAAAAAAAAACTAGGCGAAAACCCCAACCTAAGTCGTAATACCTATATGAATCCTATATGCCTGCAAAAAGTTACTCAGGTTTCATCTAGGTATTTATTTTGTGCCTATTTTGGTAGGTAAGGGTAAGAGTATAGTAAGACCTTGGGACCTTGGGTAAAACATACATTTGTAGCATAGATAATGTCGTTGACCCCCCACCTGTTGAATTTGTGAAGGAAGCGGAAAAAATAAAAAACGCGAGTTAAAACGTGTTTTAAAATAATAATTATTGAACAGATAGGTACGGTAATATAATATTTGTGCCTTTTTTAACGTTGTACCTTGGTTTGTACATACCTTATGATCATTATGATTATGAATCTCAATATTTTTGTTATGGTTATGGCAACGGTTATGGTCACTCTAAAACTCGTCGATTTTCAACGTTTTTATTAGCCCTCGAGTTAGCCACTTATATCGTTATATTATTCAAAGGTATATTCCGGTATATTCAATCCTCCTTATAAACTACCGTTACCATTTTTTTTTTTGAAAAATTTGCCTTAATATAGACAGATCCAAGCCCCAAGCCTATTATCATAGACAGAGTCCTATCTAATTTTCATCAATTTCATTAAGTACGAAGGAATATTTTATTCCCAGGTATGATTTTGAACCAATCAGAACGTTCAATTGAGTCGAGCTACCTTGTGTAATATCGAATATACGTTGATGTACATAACTTCCACCAATCAGAAATTTAGAATTATTTCCATTTCCATAGTAACCGATTCATATTTATTGTTACATACAAACAAAGCGCGTCGTCAAATTTTGACTTTCATTCAGAACTACTTTTACTTACTCGGAAAATAATCGCATCGAATACAATTCGATCCTCAAAACTTCCTGCACAATTACAAATCGTTTGACTGTTGAAATAATCCGTCCGCGAAGCAACAAGTCATCGAAGTATAACCGGAATATTTTGAAGTAGGGGATAGTGGCTGTATAGTGGGTCCATAGTATATAGTGGAACCTCGAGTGGAACATACTCTCTATATGCCATCTATTTGAGATTGGATGGAATATGCATACCAACCAATGATTCTGAATTGACTATCATTGTTTTAAACTCGGTTTTAAACTACAGTGTGTTTCCTTACCGGCTGACACAACCCCATAACAGTACATGACCTGATATTCCATACAGAAAACAAATAGCTATTACAAGTCTTTGTTTTATTTTTTCTGGTTGCGGTTGCGAAGGTATTTCGTTTTATATCACCCGCTTCACATTTATTCGCATATTTCGCTCCAATTTCGGAAATATCTATCGCTGAGTCTATAACTTGTTTCTAATATCGATTTTTTGAGCTTTTCTATATCATATAGATTGTAATCGGTAAAATTGAATAGGCGATTGGACTAATAAAAATTAAAATAAAGTTCATGTACCTGAACTTGTATGCTTTGGAGATTTGTTTTGGAGAAACAAGATGTGGAAGTTTTTTTTTTGGAAAAAGTATTTTTTTGTCACAGCCTCGGTCACAGCTCAATATCAGGTCAGCTAGTTTTCCTCAAACTTAGAGCAGGTTTGTTTGTAATATGAGAAAGTATCTTTTGACTTATCAAATTCTTCCTATACTCGATATTTTACTCGATATTATATTATCATGATTTGTCTTAGATATTAGCAATATTTTGGTAATATCCTCGATGATATTATAGATACCTACCGAGTTACTTACCTACTTAATAGTTGATGTCGTAATTAATAATAATCGGGTTTATGAGACTTTACCTGATTAAAACTGCTTACCAATAACCCAAGTAACCCCTGGACTGTATATTTAGTTTTATACGAGGTTTTATGGTCATGGCATCAATAACAATAAACTTCCTCTCTATAACCAGCCAACCGAAGGATATATATGCCACCATCGAGGCCACCATAAAGATGATAATATTCCGACAAACTATTTTATCCAGTAGAGTTGGTTCTTATGTCGGATGCTTTCAGAAAACATGGTTGTTTTTTTTATCGCTTGGAGCGCACGAAAGGGAATCCCTCAAGGAATCCCTATAATGTTCGAAGAACATCGTGCGTACCCGAGGGGTAATCCACTGTCCCAAAAAAGTACACGGATTGGACACATTGGACGTAGGATTGGACCGAGGGGTAAAACGCGGTCAAAATTGTGTACACCAGACTTCAATTTCACAAGGAATTCCAAGGAACTCCAAGCACTTCCAGAAGTCACTTCACACAAGGAATGTCAAGAAACTCCAAGGAATTCCAGGGAATTCCAAGGAAATCCAAGAAATTTCAAGGAAATCCAAGAAATTTCAAGGAAATCCAAGAAATCTCAAGGAAATCCAGGGAATTCCAAAGAATTCCATCATATGTTTGTTCATCAGAATTCCACCTTTCAACGTGTGATCCCAAACATTTTCTTATAGGCCATCTCTCGGGCCATCTGAAAATTTCTGCGGTTGTGGTGGAATTCGAACCCACCTACTGGCAATCCAACGTGGATAGAATACTGACGCTTCAACCACGAAGCTATACCCTGAACTCAGCAAACACATTATTGAAAAATAGTATTTTTTGATGATTTGATCTCGGACTTGATATAGTGGAAATGTAGTGCTTATTTTAGGCTAATTTATTACCCTATTCCCTTATTTTTCGATTTGATAAATTTTTGGATTAAATGGCTTATTTCAGGCTGAGTTTGAGGCTACTCTCAAAATATTTGCTCGACGTTTTTATAAACAAAAAAGACTAAAAGATTTGTCTAAATTCGCGTTATTCACTAGGCATTATGCATTTCCTGCATTTTTATCAAAAACATATTCTATATACGATGTTTCTATGAGGCAAACCGATAGTATTGTTTGTAGGGCCAATAAATATCCTATTTTGGAATGTTTTGCTTCATATTTTTTCTCATATTTTGTAAATGGAACGAACCTGTGGCTTTTGGAAAGAATATATTTTTTATCGATTTGATATATTGGGATTCAAAGTCTAATTTTAGGATCAACGTTCAAAAAAGGCCTTAGAGAACCAAAACAATTTGTCAGAATACGCGTTAGGAATTCACTGAGCTGAGGCATAATGCATTTCTATCTAAAGCATATTCCATGACGATTTCATGAGGCAAAGCATTAGTGACATTTGTCGAAATAATCAACATAGAAAATATTATATATTCCTTTTGTTAGAAAACGTGGATTATGAGGTTCATAAACGTTGAAAAGCTAACCTGTTAACGTAAAATCTTCGATTGAATCCATATTTTCGATTTAAATGCAAATTCCGTAAGTTATAGCGCCAACAGCTTGGCCAACACAACAGTGGATGGACGCGGTGTATGTTTGGTTGCCTATGCCACAATCATGCATGAATAGACAAATTGATCATTAACAAGGGTCATTGACAATCAACTCCATGAACAATAAACTCGACATCAGGCGCGTGCCTAGGGTAATTTCATGGGGGGGGTAATCACCCATTTCAGGACCAATATTTCCTACGTTTTAAAGTTAATTTATAATTTAATGTTGTGACTAGAAGCCTGAAGACTAGAAGACAGGTGTGAAAGCCCATCGTTGTGTCTTCAT